GTCAGCTACTGATACCAATTAAACACATAGGGTAGATGTCTGTCGGTCATGTTTCAGATAAGGTGACAACATCTTGAGCTAATGACAAGACATTCAACTGATGTATTTGACCTTATTTGACATCTGAGAAGGTACGGAGCTTCCCCCCCCCCCCCCCCACCCCTCCTCTTTTCTCCCCGTTTGTTTCTTCTTTTCTTTTTTCCCTTAGATCATCAGAGTGAAGGTTTAATTTTTCGACCGCCAGTGGTACTATTAAAATCCGAACCATTGTCCCCAAGAAATAAACGAAACAATATGCTCTTTAACTGCACCGGACCTCCCCCTCCTCTTTTTCCAACACACGCGCGCGCCCACACAAGCACACACACACACACACACACACGCACACACACACAACAGGCTACAATAAAAATTGTCATCAACACATTCCAGGCGTTACAAGTATATAAGACAATGCAATTTAAGATTCTCAAATATGAACATAAAATCATAACATGGGATGAATTTAAGAGTGACGAAAACACAGAAATGTTTTGGCAACCACTTGTATCAACAGTTAAAAGACAGACAACATGGCGCTGTATTGGAAACATTCTGAAAAGAGACCAAAAGAGAATGACCATACTGGAAACATTCTGAGGAGAGACCAACAGAGAATGACCATATTGAAAACATTCTGAGAAGAGACCAACAGAGAATGACCATATTGAAAACATTCTGAGAAGAGACCAACAGAGAATGACCATATTGGAAACATTCTGAGAAGAGACCAACAGAGAATGACCATACTGGAAACATTCTGAGGAGAGACCAACAGAGAATGACCATATTGAAAACATTCTGAGAAGAGACCAACAGAGAATGACCATATTTAAAACATTCTGAGAAGAGACCAACAGAGAATGACCATATTGGAAACATTCTGAGAAGAGACCAAAAGAGAATGACCATATTGGAAACATCCTGAGAAGAGACCAACAGAGAATGACCATATTGGAAACATCCTGAGAAGAGACCAACAGAGAATGACCATATTGGAAACATCCTGAGAAGAGACCAAAAGAGAATGACCAAATTGGAAACATCCTAAGAAGAGACCAACAGAGAATGACCATATTGGAAACATCCTGAGAAGAGACCAACAGAGAATGACCATATTGGAAACATTCTGAGAAGAGACCAACAGAGAATGACCATATTGGAAACATCCTGAGAAGAGACCGACAAAGAATGACTAAACAGGCACTGAAATGAGAAAAGATGGACTGAGAACATAAGGACATCCAAGAGACACCCTGAGGCGAAAGTTGAGGAAAGAGGCCAAAGGTGCTGGACTGGGTTATATCCTTAATATCGAAGTGACTGCACATGATAGAACTGAGTAAAGAAGAATACTGCTCACCCTATCTGACATACTGCAATGAATGAATGAATGAATGAATGAATGAATGAATGAATGAATGAATGAATGAATGAATGAATGAATGAATGAATGAACGAATGAATGAACGAATGAATGAATGAATCAATGAATGAATGAATGAATGAATGAATGAATGAATGAATGAATGAATGAATGAATGAATGAATGAATGAATGAATGAATGAATGAATGAATGAATGAACATAAGCAGCTCTTCAACAAAAGATAAGCCTATTTCTGTGTGGAAGCCAATCATGTGTAAGAGTATGCGTTGAACTTAAACCTTGCACCCTTATTCGACCTCATCAGAAGGTCATCTAAATGAGAGTATAGACTGGCTCAACACCTCCATAAACATGCTCCTTAGCTGCAAGTATGACAAGGCGTCGTCTCCAACGCCTGGACTATCACTCGGAGCAGCGCAGGCCCTTCTAGGACGCGTGTATGTATGGGTAAGTACCAAACCAACATCATTATCACGTGAATAGACATAGCCATCTTGAAACTCTAATAGTATCTGATGTAAGATTCCTTGCAGAAATTAGAACAAAAATCGCTATTGAGTTGAGTTGACATCAAAGCATTCGGGGCATTTCCATGCATGCTTAGTCCTCATCTTCAGCAGCCAGCACAGAGTTCCAATACTGATGGTACCGGTCACAATCTGGTTATATGCCCGTCTTGCCTTTCCTCTGACTGTAGTGAGCCGGCCAGACCCTCTAGTTACACCAAGGTGCCTCATTCTCTCGAGGCCATAATAGCCTTCTTTCTCTACTTATTCCGTTGCTTGTTCGCAAAGGGCATTGACCACATCTGCCTTGTCCACATCTGACTTGTCATATATCAGTGGCCTTTATCAAGATGCAAATGATTCTTACCAATAAGAGAATGTCAACTGCACTGAGAAAAAGAATGCTAAAGCGCTATGTAGAATCTGTATTGTTATATGCACTACACTACACGACACGACACGACACTACACTACACTACACTACACTACACGACACGACACGACACTACACTACACTACACGACACTACACTACAACGACACACAACTACACTACACACTACACTACACTACACTACCTACACTACAACAACTACACTACACTACACTACAACTACAACACTACACTAACACACTACACTACACTACACGACACGACACTACACTACTACACTACACCTACACTACACTACACTACACTACACTACACTACACTACACTACACTACACTACACTACACTACACTACACTACACTACACTACACACTACACTACACGACACGACACTACACTACACTACACTACACTACACTACACTACACTACACGACACACTACACACACCACTACACTACACTACACTACACTACACTACTACACTACACTACACTACACGACACTACACTACACTACACTACACTACACACTACACTACACTACACTACACTACACTACACTACAACTACACTACAACTACACTACACTACACTACACGACACTACACTAACTACTACACTACACTACACTACACGACACTACACTACACTACACCTACTACTACACTACACTACACTACACTACACTACCAACTACAACTACACTACACTAACACTACACTACACTACACTACACTACCGACTACACTACACTACTACACTACACTACACTACACTACACGACACTACACGACACTACACTACACTACACTACACTACACTACACTACACGACACGACACTACACTACACTACACTACACTACACTACACTACACTACACTACACTACACTACACTACACTACACTACACTACACTACACTACACTACACTACACTACACTACACTACACGACACTACACTACACTACACTACACTACACTACACGACACTACACTACACTACACGACTAACTACACTACACGAACTACACTACACTACACTACAAACTACACTACACTACACTACACTACAACTACACTACACTACACAACACTACACTACACTAACTACACTACACTACACTACACTACAATCTACACTACACTACACTACACTACACTACACTACACTACACTACTACTACTACTACACTACTACTACACTACACGCTACACTACACGACACTACACTACACTACACTACACTACACTAACTACACTAACTACACTACACTACACTACACTACACTACACTACACTACACTACACTAACACTACACTACACTACACTACACTACACTACACTACTACTACACTACACTACTACTACACTACAACTACACTACACTACACTACACTACACTACACTACACTACTACAACTACACTAACTACTACACTACCACTAACACTACTGACTAAACTAACTACACTACACTACACTACACTACACTACACTACACTACACTACACTACACTACTACTACACTACACTACACTACACTACAACTACACTACACTACACTACACTAACTACTAACTAACTACTACACTACTACTACTACAACTACCTACTACTACTACTACTACACTACACTACCACTACACTAACTACTACTACTACACTACACTAACTACACTACACTACACTACTACTACACTACACTACTACTACTAACTACTACTACTACTACTACACTACACTACACTACACTACACTACACTACACTACACTAACCTACTACACTAACTACTTAACTACTACACTAACTAACTAACTACTACTACTACTAACTACTACCAACTACACTACACTACTACTACACTACACTACTCTACTAAACTACTACTACTACTACTACTAACTACACTACACTACTACTACTAACTACAACTACACTACACTACACTACACTACACTACACTACTACGTAAAACTACACTAACTAACTACACTACACTACACTACACTACTAACTAACTACTACTACACTACTACTACTTACTAACTACTACTACTACTACCTACGAACTAACTACAACTACACTACACTACTAAACTATACTACTACTACTAAACTACTACTACACTACACTACACTACACTACACTACACTAACACTACCACTACACTACAACTACACTACAACTACAACTACACTACAACTACACTACACTACTACTACACTACACTAACTACACTACACTACACTACACTACAACTACACTACACTACACTACACTACACTACCACTACACTACACTACACTACACTACAACTACACTACACTACACTACACTACAACTACACTACACTACACTGCTACTACACTACACTACACTACAACTACACTACACCTACACTACAACTACACTACACTACAACTACACTACACTACACTAACAACTACACTATGCTACACTACACTACACTACACTACACTAACTACCTACACTACTAACTACAACTACACTACAACTACACTACACTACACTACTACTACACTACACTACACTACACTACACTACTACACTACACTAACTAACTAACTAACCTACAACTAACTACACTACACTACACTACTATACCACTACACTACACTACACTACACTACACTACTACACCTACACTAC